TCCTGCTGGCTTATGAGGGGAGAAAGATTTAAGATCTTGGCACAATGCTGCAGAAATTTTTCACTTCAAATGAGCTGTATTTATTAGCTGGTGTGACAAAAGCTTTGCTAGGGAGACGAGAGCCTTAAAGTGTAAAAGTCCAATTATACAAATGTTACGCATATGTATAACTACATTTGCTGTGAAATGAGTGCAGGTTTTCAGGAATAATGGTTCTTTATGCTCATATGCTCTTCTGCATCCTAAAACAGCTTAGTACAATTGAGAAAAACAATGTCCACCTTCATTGACAAAGGCAAATAAGTTAGGAGTGTAAAACCAATGAAATGAAAATCTGGAACAGTATGATTTTGTCGAGTGATTTCTTTGTCTTTCCTCAGATGAATGTTGTTCAATTTTTAAGGCTTTTTGTAAGTTTTGTAACAAAACACACACTATCAAGAGTTTGAGCAAATATTCGGATTTTGTACACTTATTAACTTTAAAACTCATTTCAAGGGACACTGAAGCTCATCTATCCCAAAACATCAGACCTCTGCAGCAGCTTAGAGCTAGATAAAATTGTTTCTAGTGCACTCCAGGTTCTCCTCCCCTCTCTTTTCTTAATTTTATGTCTCACCATAACAGAGGGTCTATTTGCATATGTTTGTTCCTAATGCTTGTTCATTATATCATTAATGAATTAAGCTATTTAAATCTCCAGTGCCACTTTTGAAATATGCATTGAGGTCCAACCTATTTAAATCTGCAGACTCATTATGTAGAAATTTCTACCCACTGAATTTCAACGCCTCACGCAAAGATCTTTTAACTCTATTCTCTGATTAAACAAGCCGTTTGTAGTTGGGTTTGTCTCTTCTATATGGTTCATTTGCAAGAACAAATTCCCGCCTTCAAAGTCTTTACAGGCTTGCAAAATGAAAAAACTATTATTTGCAAACTTTGTCTTTGTAATGCTCATTCATAATCTGTTAAATCACGATGTGTTTAGAAGGCTACAACATGCACAATCCTGTTTCAGAGTATTTGGCATTGATTTTAATTTTTTTTGCTGAAATTGCATCTGTATGTAGAGGCTTTCTCAGCTCCAGTGTTTCAGAATGGCCCAGATAAAAATGGATTCAATCTTGGCTTTGCAAAGAATCTTCAGCAAGTGTTTGGAGAAGAAAAAAAGCTCTGGTTACTACCTATTGCCTCTAGGTAAGTAATTATCAAGTCAGTGCTAAAAGCTGATGCAATTAACTGAAGGGACTGAATTCTAAATATCTGCCACAGCCTCATGTGTTACACCTATTGTTGTGTGGCTTGGCTGACTACTGTCGTGCATCATTGTAAATGCACCAACAGACATCATTTGTGTTTATCCTGTCTACCAGAAGTGTGGAAGAGAAAGCTTTTTGAGGGCTAAATGCGCTGCACAGGGTGTCGGAACTCTTCCTGGACTCCTGTGGCACATGGGTGTTCACTTCAAAGATGCAGTTTTCTTTATCTGTCAGATTCCTCTACCTGAAACCAGAGTTTACATTCCTTAATGTAGGGGAAAATGTTGTGGCACTTAGTAGACCGGTAGTAAATTACACTGTAATTTAATTCCTTTAGTAATTGGGCACAATTTAAAATAACTTTCTGGCACAGCAGTTCACAACTTTTTTGAGCAGCTATGTATAAGTCTAAGGCCCAGTTGCATCCCCACTGCCATCAGTTTTCCACTCTTAAGTATAGTTAAAGGGAAAAGATTAGCAGAGAAAGCTTTTCTGTTAACAAAAGGCAGCATTGAGGTGCTAGTCAGAGGCACGTGGCCAGTGTGTATAGTAATCACAGGGAGAACGCTTGGGTTATTTTCCTTGCACAAAGACAAATCATCAGAGGAAAAAGGCACTTCAGCTATTTTTACAGTTTTGTGGGTTTTGGGGGTTTTTTTGTACATTTTTACAGTTTGTCTATGCTGCTGGAGGTTAGGGAATCCAGTATGGCGCAGACCAAGCTAGAACATCTAGTTTTTAACTTCATTCGTTTACGTTACATGAATTTGAATGTACTCTCAAACTCTTGTTTGATATCCAGATACACAGTAGTAAAGTGAAAAAAAAAAAAAAAAAGATTTTGCAACTTTAGGTCTTTGCAGAGGTTTGGTTTTTTTTTCCATTTTGCGTACAGGTTTAGGTCACAGGAAGGTGGGTCTTTTATTTGTCTTTCAGTAACATCTAACTAAGGTTTGGGCCATTTTCTATTGGGTGTCATTCAAATACAGACGTGTAATTTCTGCCCTGAAGAATCTATGATATACATTGATGAAATTTATACCTAGGTTATAAATTGTGCCTTCTACATAAATGTTTTCCTTAGTTCCCCCCTTACTGTTAGCTGTCTACAAGTTAATTTTTTTCTGTTGTTTTTCTGTATCCAAATGACTTGATCCAGTTAGGCACATTTAAGTTCTGCTAAAAATGACTGAATTCCAGGCTATAGGTTTGAACTTTTATTCTCCAGAGAGCTTGAAGGAATTGAGGACCAAAACTACTCGCTAGTAAAACTTTGTATTTGAGCTGCCACAAAACCACAGTATTTTTCAAAACTTAAAAATCGTTTTATGTAAACATTGGAAATACAGGCAACAGAAAACCTTGTTTGTAGATAAAACACGTAGAGATTGTCATTCTTCAGAGTCACTTGCTGATTTTTACAGTATCTTTCTCTGACTTTTTCCATGCAGCCAGGGCGATGGACATTTTTTCCCAATGAGAGCTTTGTGTGAAGCTCAGAATCCTCTCCTAGCAAATGAAGAGCAGTGGGAAGATGATGGAATAGATGAAGAACCTCATGGTAAGGTAACACTAAAGGAAAGTAGTTGTATCGGTGACTAATGGATGAATTATAAGGGCTAATCAAATAAAAAACCTCTGTTGGCTAAGTCACTTGGTAGCTCTGACTTGACTAATGAACACAGACTAAAAGTAAGACCTACTTTGGAGTCAACTGTTTTGTTGCGTTTTTTAGTAGCTTTCTACTTGCAAGTAAATGAACTGAGAGGTTTTTACAAGTTACAGAGAGAAACTGAAATTTCTGTGAACTGGGCGTATTTATACGTAAGTGTTGCTGCATGCAGCACAGTTACTGGAGACATAAAGTTGTGCCTGTAAAAATGGAGTAAGCTGCTTTTTAAAGTGCATTTATCCTCTCAGAGTGTGTGAAAACATGCATGCAACACCAGAATGCAGTGATACATTTAGGAAACTACTTTGCTCAGCTTTACCACAAGAGTAAAGTTGATTTGGTTTTGATGCCTGCCTAGCTATGTGCTAATCTCCATGGGAGAAATACATGTGCTGAGAGCAATTCTAGGTGAACTGGCATGTTTGTACGATGGATTTGATCAGTTTCTCAAATGCAAACATAGCTTTTATACTCTGGATATCCTATTAGAAAAAAGAATTTATATGTATATCCATTCTCTGATGGTTTTTGTTAGGTGGATCCAAAATTTGTTTCATGTTTTTTTACTGTTACATTTCTGGGTTTAAACTTGATTTTTCTTTTTTCCTTGCATATTTGCCTCCAAGCTTTGGTCTTTGGAGAATACAGTATGTATCAGAATACCAGGGTTCATGTCAGAGACCCCGGTTACCAAGTTTGAAGGTTCAGAAATGCTGTCAGCAAGTTAAGCAAGGGCTCATATTTTTTCCTGTGGACCAAGGATGCCATCCACAGGTTCGTTTTAAAAGAAATATGATAGTGTCACTCTTCTTTTCCCTTCAAGGAATGGTGAAAGTGCTAATTAATTCTCAGGTTACTACAATTAGTGGATCAGGCAAGTATACTTGGAGAACCGAATATCACTGCCTTACTGTTCAGAGACATGATTTCCGTAGTCGTGCTCTCTATTGCCTCAGAATAGTTTTCAGAAGCTTTGCTGATAATGTTCCCTTTCAGGGTATACATTTTAGTCATATGTGCACACCATATGTCTGGGAAGCTGTGAGGAAGTCTTGGTTAAAGGGAACAGCAGAAACTTTTCAGGTGAACGTTTTTATCCATGTGCAGCGTAGTGTGCAATGGGCTCTTTAATCCTAACAGCACAGTATTTTCTGGTCAGTCTCTGGTTAGGTCTTACCTGCAGCTGTTAGTTCAAGTTATTCCACTGCAAAATAAAGAGGCTGTGTTTTTTCCACGGCACACTTCACATACTGCTGGGAAAATACACTCTCCGGGATTTTGTTGGTAGGACTAAAGAGGCTTATTTCAGCTTTTCTTCAGATTAGCTGCTTTACTTTGTATTTCTGTGTTAGAAAACTACCTGTTCATCCTGTTTTGTTCCATACATTTTGGCAGCTACAATGTAACACAGATTGGCTTTAAAAATAACAAAATATGGTACCTCTGTGTATTGTTAATGATGCTTAAAATAGCTCCTTTAGGAATGAGTCAGAACTTCATCCAACTTTTACAAAGTGTGAATTCTCTGAAGAAAAATTAATTCTTAACTATGAAAACATTTGACAGTGAGATGATTTTTGGCCAGGTCAAACCCCAGAATCTGAATCTGGAGCTTATATAAAGTCCCACAATTTATAGTGCTTATAAAATAAATGACATTTACAGGCAGTTGAACTACATGATAGTTGTAAGTCCCTTCCAACTGAAATATCCCATCCGTCTTTCTCAGTGAAAAAATAGGTTGCAATCTTTTTCCAAGAAGCTGTAGAACTGTAATATTGGTAAAATTAGAACCTCTTACTGTAATGTAAAAGCCAAACTGAGCCTATACGAAGTTACAGACAAAGTGAAAAACCGGGCTGAACACACGCTGTGAGTAGACAGATAGCTGTTAGTGTGTTCATGATTGGAGACGTTTTAATTTTTTTGCTAGTGGCTGTGAGGTAAAGGTGGGAACTACAGATAAAATAATCCCCTAGAGAAGGAGATTGTGTCCTTTTTATGTCTACAAATCGGTGATGTGGAACTGGAATTCAGCTGCTAGAGCAAATGTTGGGGGAAGTTCACTTCCTTTTATTTTTCTTACAAATAGGCTCTCGGCTCTCAGTCTGAACAGCTGAATTTTGCAAGCTGAAATCCCACATGGAGACTGGGGGGAGTATGTGTGGTTGGGAGGGGAGGAAGCTGACACCCTTCCCTGGATGCTTCTGTGGCCGGTGCTGCAGGACTGAGAGAAGCTGCGTCGCAAGGGTCAGCTATTGGCCCTGCCGCTGATGCAGTTTCGTGAGCAGAGCACTCACCAAAAAGCTCCACAGCTGGCAGGGTGCCTGAATCTTGCACTCTGCAAGTTCCATGGTCCTCCATGACCACCAGGCAGGGTCACAATTGATTGAGGAATCACAGAATCATTTATATTGGAAAAGACCTTTAAGATCATGGAGTCCAACCATATAACACATGTATAGTATTTCTGAGTAAGTAGTTTTGTGATACAGCATAAATCCATCTCGGGGGGCATTTTGCTCTAAGCTCTTGACTGCACCATTCTGCTAGCACAGATAACAAATGTCTGTGTATCATTTTGATTGCTATAAAAGATGTTGAGGAAGAGGGAGTCGTGCAAGAAAAGGTACCAGGTTTGTTCTTTTTCCTATTACCTAGACATTAGGCAAAGCAGGAGTTGAGGAAACATGAAGGTTCAGATTTTTCAATCCTGCAGCCTTAGGAGATGGCACTGCCAGCTGCACCAAGATCAAAATAATAACGGCCCTCTTGTATTTAAGTGGGGTCTCTCGACTCCTGGAGTTTTGCTGGTAATTGCTTGTGCACTTGTGTTATGTAGCAGGAGTAATGAAGGGTCACCTCATCAGTCGAGTCCCTCACTCCAGGCTTGTGCAGAAAAGAGAGAAACACCACAGAAATAATGAAAAAAGGACGAGCTGGATTAAATGTTTCTTTCTGTAATGTTATTGTGCGTAACTGCATTATTGCAGTGTTGTGCTTCCACCCTGGCTACATGGTCTGCATAAAGCACGGCATTTTCAAGCCCCCACAATTGCAAAATTATCTCATGTGTGGGTACTGGGGGAGATGAGCGCTACGGGGACTGGGAGATTCAGGAGGAGAGGACAAGACCAACTGAAAGCAAGGAGATGAGGTAGCTTCATCTAGGTCCCTCTTATCCCCAGGGTTGTCCTTTGTTCTGTGATATGGGTGTTTAAATGAGCCCTTCCTGATTGGATTTTTTTTTTCTCCTTAATCCTGGCCTTGATAAGGCTTTTATTGTTTCATGTAGGGTGAAAAGTATTGTAGGGAACCTTTTGTTTCATTTCTTAGCCAGAGACTGAAAACACTTGCTTCCAAATCAGTGAATTCTTTTTCAGATTTATTAATGCTCATCCCTTATTCACAGGCATCTGTTTAATCTGTCAAGCCAGAGAGCTACCCCGAATCACATGCTGGCAGCTTATAAGGTTATCATTTTTTTTCCAAAGAATTCATCTAGAATGTATTTGACATGTTGGTTGTGGGTGTGTCAGTGCTGTGAATGCTTGCACCCTTTGCCTTGTGGAGCCTAGGACAGGACAGCCATTTACAGCAACATCTCATCTCTTTGATTTATTAATTTAATCATGTGTTTCAGCTGAACTTGTACGAAAGGCTTCAGTATGAATCAAATCTTTTCCAAGTTGTTCTCATCTGCACTAAGTAACATCTTTCCAGCAGAAAGCAGCGTAACCTGAGTAATAGGTGGAAGCTGGTTGGGGTGATGATGCTCCAGGTGTCTGAAGGCACGTGATTTGAATTTAAATTCAAACTGGTGGGAGTCTAATTAAAGGGGCTTGATGTCCTGAGATATCAGCTAATTTGGCATAGCTGTCCTGTGAGTAGAGAAGTCATCTGTTGTGACTGTAGGGATTGAATTTCTATCGTCGAGAAATTTAAAAAGCTAATTAAGATGTTGGAAACGAGCAGAGATTGCTCAGACAGTACAACGGTGTATTGGCAAATTCAGTAAACTCACACAAAAGACTAAGTTTGCATCTCTGGATTTTAGGCATGATATAAATCGTTAAATTGTGTCTGACAGAAGAAGATTAAGTTAAAGCAGTGCTAAACCCTGCATCAGCCTTATAATCAGTTTTGAAATGGTGAAGGGGTACCCATGTAGGAATCTGCATCAGTTCACCTAAATTAATCGGTGAATATATTTAGTAAATCCAATGTGGTTTTGTATGTGGATCAGACCTGCAGCTGCTAGATAATTAGATGAAAAAAAAAAAAAATCCTATAAAAAGTTGGTGGTGAAATTTCAGTGACACTAATGTCCCAGAGCCAGCAAGTCTTCTATATCCTTTTATCAGTTCCCTGTGGCATTCAGACCATACATAAAGGTATGCAGAACAAAGGGCTGTTCTCTGGAAGTTCCCATCCGAATAAACGGATTAGATTTTGCATGGTGAAATAGATGTCTATGCTAATAAATATGAAAATAGCCTGATAATGGAAATAGCACTGATTCTTTTTATGCATAATTAGGAAACAAGAGGCCTAGGCAAATTTATTTATCGTGTATGTATCACTGAGTGGTAAGGGGGAAGTGTTTGCTTTCTGTTTTTCTTTCTTTATCTTCTATATACAGAGAAAATTAATTTAGAGAAAATTAAAGAAAGTTCTGTGGCAAATTGATTTTTGACAGTGCTTGATGCCATTCTTGCATTTTGACCATCATGTCTTACGACAAGCTCTGGATCTCCAAACTGAACAGTGCGAGATCGGTATAAGATGTCTACAGAGCAATGCAGTTTTGAAATCCTGTTTTTAGCGGGCATGGGAACAACTCGGGAAGTATGAATTTAGGAATTGGATCTTATTCCTGTACCTGCCACAGAATTTTTTTTTTTTTTTTTTAATAGGACAGTGTGTTTCACTTAATGATGTTTTGCAGAAATACAGCATGATAACCTTCCTGTCTCTTAGGCAGGTTATGATGGTAGATTTATGCATATAAATTGCTTTGAGTTTCTTGGGTATTAATTGCTGTAATAACACAGTTCTACAGTAGAGCAAAATGTTGTTGCCTATGATGCTGTTTCCATTGAATATGAGGTATGAGCTGCTTTCAGGCCAGCTGTCATTTTAAACGATCTCCACTTAGTTGTAGGCTGCTGTTAGATTGACCTCGAGCTTCTTCCTCCTCTGATGAAACAAGCCCAACTGTTTCAAGCTCTCTACACAGATTTAAAGTAGAAATTTCTGTGATGTTTACATATGGCTAAGTCTGACCGCCACAGCGTTCAGCTTTCCAAGATTTGGGCTGAAACTGTGTGTCTTCATAGAAAAATGACGTTTTTATTTTGCAAGTGAAAATGTTTAGGAATAAACTTACCATGAACGCATGAAACGTATTACTGTATATTTCTACCATGGCTGTATTAAGCCAACGTAATTCAGAGAACGTGATTTCCTGGTTCATTAAGCTTTGGTACCCTCACTCCCATCTGACAGAAGGGTTTTAGGAGACTGCGTTGTAGGCACAAATGATGCTTTACTCTTCCTTCTTTTCTCATCACTGCTTTTCTTTTTTTGTAAGGCATCAGCAAATGAAGTGCTCTAAGCTTAGAGTTTTCAGATTCCATCTTGCACAACAGAAGTAAACCAGTATAATTTGCTAACTGGAAAGGCCTTAAATGTTCCATTAAAATGGAAAGATCTTGTTTTGTCTTTAAAGCAGGCTTTAAACCTTGTGACACAGTTATGAAATAGATAAAGCCAGTAACAGAGTAATCTCAGTTTAAAAACTGCTGCTCAGTCATCTCTGACAAGTGGTTGTCTATTTTTATTTGGAATGATTCTTAAAAACACGCTCCCGTACTTAGTGAAAAATATATTCTCAGTGAGAAAACCAGGTTTACTTACCTCTAACTACTTTGTTTTTCATTGTATAGATTCTGGTGAAGCTTCATCCCTTGCCATAGAAAGGGAGACATAGCAGTGTGAAAATGCAGCAGTATAAAGCTTGTCCAGAAAGGTCAGTACTTCTTTCTTCACTTCCTTCAAAACAGCCGCTCTGCAGGGAAATCGGTGGGTAACATCGGACAGGTTTTGACTTTAACAGTGGCATAGCCCACCGTGCGCGGGCAGAGTCATCTAACATGCTGAAGGCTGCGGAGCGCAGCCATTCTGTTGATATTCAGCGAGGACCCCACGCTGCCATTCTACTGACAGAGCGGAAAACCAGCGTTTTTCCCTGTCGTCCCACATGGCTTTACAGCGGTGCTCAAAGTCAAGATTAGTCAGCATCTGTTGCTCGTCAGATCAGTGCTTATAGTTGCACATTTTTCTTTATTTCACTTTCAGCTTCCTTCTCAGGAGTCAACATCCCTTCTCTTGGCATGGACTTCTGTTTTGAGGGGCAGAAAACAAGTGTATCTTCAAGATGAGAAGAATCATGAAGTATCATCTGATTGGAATCTGCTTTCTGGAGTGCTTCTCCAGAAATCCTGCTATCCAGATGTTTCAAGGCTTTATAAGTTTAAGTTACAGAGTGAACAGAACAGTTTTATAGAGTGATTCTGGCCAATCTTCTTTGGCCTGCTTTCTTTATTTTATAAATAATATATATTTTTTATTCAAAATAGGTAAAAAGTATTGCTGTGAGGGCATTTCCAAAGGCCTTTTCATTTTGCAGACATCAGGGATTTGAGTTCTTGAGATTCTTCCAAGCCATAATATTCTTGGTGATGGTGTTTATTTTGAGACTGATTCTTCAACCTTCTCTGACAAGTAGCATTTTCTAATGTGATTAAGTTCTGTCTGAGTTGGTTCAAATCAATGAGAGACAGACACACTTAAATTTGGCACTAAACTGCTACCTGGATGTAAACGTGTTGAAAGAAAAAGTGCTGAACATGCATATATACATGTGCAGCTGTGTATGAAAACAAAATATTCACATTGCCAGTATCAAGATTCAAGAATATTGTGGCCATAGGTTTTTTAAAAATATATTTTAGGAGGGTGTAATTGTCTTAGAGTTTGAATTATAGTACCCTTTAAGCCCAGTCCTATTTGCAGGCACCTAAAATGCAAAAGGGAACTTCAGACAGTACAGTTTGCATTAATTCCTAGGGCTAAAATATCAACTCATTCCTGGATCAGTATTTGATGGAAATCTGTGTGTTTATGGAGTCAGAAAGGAAGAGGTAAATTCCAAACAGGTGAGTTGGAAATGTGCACTGAAAGTTTAGCTCCAACAGTGGTGTTTGGAGTTTACGCTCCACAAAGGTGGTTTTAATTCCATAATGCTGAAGAGACAATTGGTGTATTGAATTTTTTCAAACTTCTTCCTAAGTAAATGTATTGACTGGTGGCTTAAAGGTTCTTCAGAACTAAGAGGTCATCAGATTTTTTCTTCATTTTGCTCCATTTGCAGTCAAGGGAATGTATTGCTGTTTTTATTCAGTGGAATGGAACTGAGAATTTGCTGGCAGGATTACATGCATTTTTCTAGACCTGAGTCGTTTTATTTATCTGCATGATTCAGACCTGGCAACTCCATCACTCATGTTTGGATTAAGTGCATGCTTAAAGTATTAGTATACTGCCTTTAAGATCATTTCGTACCATTTTCTATCCTGCTTTTGTGTTTGTTTATCAGCCTCTTTGACAGTGACTACAGAAGCAGTTGTGCATGTCACAAGAAATTACCTGTTAAGTATCTGTTTGGTGACAAAGGCCTTGCCTACATACCAAATCCTTTTTCCCTCTGTTTACTCTGCTGCTGCTACCAGTGGAAATGTGCTGAAGGTCAGTTGTCAGGAGTCCGAGTGGGCTCTCCCAGGCTTAGTGTAGGTCACTCTGTCCTTAGGGCGGTACCGAACACTCTGAATGTTCCTGCTTCAGCCCCGTCTGTTGGGCGGTTCCGTCACCAAACGGCTGTTGAGTGCTGAAACTATCAGTCTAAACCTGCATTTCTAACGTAAATCTCATGGTGGACCTTAAGCTGTGTTTGAGGAAGGATGGCAGGAGAATTAATCACGTCATTTCTGGCAAAACGTGTTCTGGAGGGGGATCTTGAGAGGAAAAGGGCAGCTAAACACAATAGGAAATGTGTAGGAATTCAGCACCAACGGAGGTGCTGTTTGTGCCTTTTAAACTCCAGATCCCTTGTATATAAAAACAGGAAGACGATTTGGTGGCTGTTTCATTCTGGCAGCTGAAGTGTGTGTTTAAGATAGGAATATCAGAGCTGTGTCTGAAGCCATGTGGATTTACAGGACTTTTCTGAGCAGGCTCTTGTGTCCTTTCTGGATTTGGTTCTGTTTTACGGCCATGTCATTCTTCCAGTGTCATTAACTGGAGATCTGGGCAGTGTAAAAGCAGTAATTGTGACTGCACCCCCTGCTACCTGTGGTTTTAAAGCTGGGCTGCTATTTATTTTTTAAATTTACTTTTTTTCCCTTAGCTTCTGAAAGAAAGTTGCATACAACGAATGAGGTAAATGCAGGGTGTGTAAAGTTCTGTCGAATACGCTAGGTAAATGTGCTGGAAAATAGAAATACCTCAGGCTGGCTGTAGTCACTGCTGCAGGTAGCAGAAGAGAGATTCAGCCGAGTGCGTGCTAGTGTTTTTAACACGCAAATAGCTCTTTCAGGGTATGCCCACTACAACATCTCCCTTGTTTTCCATCCCCCTAACCCTCACCCAGAGGCACTCCACCTCAGCATCATTAACCGTAAGGGCTGTGCAATCGAACCTCTCCCTCACGCCCACGGCGACACCTCCGCCTCGCCTCCGGAATGGCCCGTAGCCCCCATCCCAGCACTCCGGGCGTGGGACTCGTTCCTACCGATGGCACCGTGGCTCTGGGAGCTGACCCACGCTTCCAGTTCGTCGTCTTGTTTCTCGTGCTGCCTGCGTTGGTCTACAAGCATTTCAGGTACGCTCCTGAGCCCTCCGTGCGTCCAGGAGCAGTGCGAATGTCCCCGTGAGGATTGCCACCTTGTGACGTTTATTCTCAGTCTCTACCTAGTTAAGTGCTGTAAAACCAGCTGCACCCAAAGAATTCGGTAAACTCCTAAGGTCTGAATCTCGGTTCCGATGCGGGGTTAAGTTGTGTGACTGTAGCGCTCGCCGAGCTGTTGAACTGCTGCGTAGAGGCAGGAAGGCAACTGCCTCGACCCCATCCGGGGGGCCGTTTTCTCTGGCTTAGCATCAGACCTACGCTGCAGAGTAAGGCGGAAGAGAAGCAGTTTTCAGCTCAGGGTCAGGAATGGCTTCTGTCCTCAGTGGATCTCATACCAACAGCAGAGCTGACTGCCGTTCTGTAGCGCAGACCAGGCCTCCAACTGACGGCCAGTGCCGTTACTGTCTGTTATTTTGATGAGACGGTGGAAGCTGGAATAGGACCACCCGCTGCTGCCTGTACTTCTACCAACAGTCAGATGGTAGTAATAGACATATGGCTTGAGTGACAAGCAGCACTGAACACAACTGTGGTTTTGTTAGCTTAAATCGGGGCACAGAAGTGTGAGTTCAGCCCAGGTGCAGCATGTTCTACCTTGCCTTTGGCCGTCTGTTGTTCGTATTTCAGCATTTTACAAATACCTTTCAGGTGAGGGAGGACTCTGCTATAAGCAACTTCTCCAGGTGGGTGTCACTGTGAAAGAATGAATGCTCTTGCTAGATTTTACTGTGATATCTGTCACAGTCTCATCCCTGTGCTCCCAGATGAATGCTCCAAAACAGCTGACCACTAACAACCACCTCCTCACCTCTTCCCTTCTCTCTCATTTACATTCAGGTACACTGTACTCCTTTTTTTTTTTTTTTTTTTTAAATAAATAGAGGAAACATCATATTGATGTTTCGGATGGATAGTGTTGTGGTAAGTCCTCTCCTTGGCCAGCGAGTCCTCTCCAAGGAATTGGGACTTGTGTAAGCCTCGCTGCGCTGCAGTTTTGTGTCTTGCGGAATTGGTACAGTATGTTTTTGGAGTAAATTAGGTTACATTCCTTTAAACAGGAAGCAGTACTGTATGTTTTTAGTAGGCTGTACCATTGACAAGAACCAGGCAGCTTCCTAATAGCACTACGGCTATGAACGTTTACTTTCTGGAACAAGGCAGAAATGTGACTTGACAAAATCTATATAGCTGTTTTTTATAGTTCTATATGCTGGTGTGGACTGAGAGCACAACTTCGTATTCGTTACCAAACACGATGCATAAAGTCTGTAACAAATATGAATGTAAAGTGTCAGGGCGAGAATTTACCTTTTCTTCCCTGAAGTTAGATCTCAAGAACGACGTGCCAAGATGTATTCAGGGACCCGCTGCCTCCCACGTAGCTGCTATGCCAGCAGAACAGATTTACTGTTTGCGTAGCTGCCTCGTTCACGAAAGCGTTGAATTAGCAGGCTGAGGAGGTACCACTGACCTTGGTTATTAAGCCAGAATTAATTAACTCAAAGGGTCACATTTTCATTTCGGTGACTCCTGTGGTACAAATTTTTGAAATTGATCCATAACTACTGGAAAATACTTGAAAATACCTTGATTTTATTGATATTTTTCCAATTCTATCAGCTTCTGTTTTGTTGCAGAACACTTGCAAAAATAAAACTCATTCTGAAACCATCGGTTAACGCATTTGCATGGTAGAGTGGCTTTTTTCATCAAAAGCAATGGTCTGTCAAACAGCCTGGCAGCAACAGGCATTGGATTGCAAGGTAGTGACACTACCGTGTGCTCTTCCTGCTTAGCACTTTATTTCCCTTCCTGTAATTAACATTGAGATCATACCCCCTGTTACGCAGTTTTAGTCGTTTGCCTTTTCCCATCTCCCTTGGAGAGAGTCTTTCTTCTCCCTCCTGAATATGTAGTTAAAATATTATCAGCTTTCAGCTGTTTGTGGTGGGTGTTTTGCTACTCTGAAGGTGAGCAGGTGTCATTTTAAGCAGTTGCGCCATGTATTTTATTTGAAACTAATC